CACACACACTTCCTTCCTCCCAACTCCCAGGATTCAGGATAGAGGCTCTGCTTTTTTGGTCTAGCAATACCTGTTCATAGCTGAAACAGCAATGGTGATGGCTTCTCTTGTGAATTTTGGCTTCAGATGGCTGCTTACTTTGCTTAACCTTTTATTCTAGGGGTCCCTGTAGACCAGTTGTGTCAACACTCTGGCAATTGCCTTAACGTTGGAAACAGCCACCATTGCCAATGCCGGACAGGCTACACTGGTAGCTATTGTGAAGAGCAGGTGGATGAATGCATCTCCAGTCCTTGTCAGAATGGCGCCACCTGCAGGGACTATCTTGGAGGATATAGCTGTGAGGTAAAGGAGGATGCTATTTAAAGGAAACACAGATAATGCCTAATTTCACCAATTTAAAGTTTTTACTGTACAGTTCTTCATTTCCTTTCTGGTGCTTAGACTGTCACCTGTTTGTCATGGTAGTGACCGGGTACTTTGCAAAAATTATTTTGATTATTTATCAACCAAAACTGTGATATGTTCAAATTGTCTTGAGTAGGAGCACTGTCAAGGGAGAGAGTAGAAGCATGATATTTGACGAAATGTTCAGATTTGGTTTACTAGGAAGAATTTCAAGTACCAAATAAAGAGACTGAATGCCAAGGGACCTACAACTTGGGAAAATGCAGCATGCCCCAGAGAGAAAATTTAAACTTGGTTAATGTCAGGGATTTGGAATCACTTTGAAAGACTATGTAAGGATAAGAATGAACAGTATTTGACTTGAGTTTATCAGGAGTTTAGTCACTGATATCCCATGTCTCTGGGGAGATGGATTTATTCACCTAATAGGTCTCTTCCACTTGTAACTTACAAGTATATGAAAATTAAATCAAAAAGCAAATTGAAACAATCTATATTTGTCCTGCGTAGGATGGGTGGAACACTTACCTCCCACAATAGGTCTTCCTTTGCTGTGCACTGACTCCTCTACCTGATATTCACAGCACCACAGGTTATTTTAGGCCACCAGTTTTATGGGCTTTGAGAATGGTAGAACATTCAGAACCACATTTTCTGAAGGGGCTGAATTTACAGAAGACTTGAAGTTTGTTTGACCTGACTGTTTTTTTTAATAGCAGCTGAGATTCATCAAGCCTTCCAACTTTGCCTTGTGATCTTCTGCAAGACATCTGTGGGAGGCAGATGGTTCACCCTTAGATATTTTGTGAGGAGTACAGTACTTACCTGGTTAAATTCTCTCACTGAAATCACTAAGGCTGCCCACATGCATATAGGAGCAGAATTTGGCCACTGAAGATTTTTGGCTTTTTGTCCTGTTTTAGGTTAGGGTGCATTAATCTCAGATACATGCTTATGTGTCCATGTTGGGTAAGATATATACACTTGTTCCTTTTTTTTTATGTTTGTAGTGTGTGCCAGGGTACCAGGGTGTCAACTGCGAGTATGAAGTGAATGAGTGTCAGTTCCAGCCCTGCCAAAATGGAGGAACCTGCATTGATCTCATCAATCACTTTAAATGCTCCTGTCCACCAGGAACTCGGGGTATGAAACTCAATAATGAAGTAAAAAGCGACAGGAATTTCACTTTCCTATAGAGTGTTTTCCATGCACGTAGTCCTGCAGGAATGAATTAATTTAATTTGAATAGGCCTCAAATAAAATGCTATGAGTCCCTGAGGGAAGCAAATGTGTCTCTGTTCTATTATTTTCTAGCCCAGTGGTTCTCAACCCTTTTAGACTCAAGACATCCCTCATTAGACCCCTCAGAAAATGTCAACTCTTAGTTTTCACTTGTTCTTTGACCACAAAAAAATAACAGAGGAATTCTTCTGTTGCACAGAACTCAGAAAGCCCACAGCAGGGCAGAATGTTTTTGACACTGTTTGAAATCTCCTGTTGGTGCTAATATTGTGGAGCACTCCATAGCATCCTTAAAAGGATTTCATGTTTCCATGACTGACAGTCACTGTTCTAACCAGTTGGATTTCTTTTTAGTGGGGATGCAACTAGCTTTGTAGGAAGCATGTTTAGTTGTGTAACTCCAGCATCCTTGACCCTTTGATTACTAAGATTTTTAGCTTCTGTTTCTCTGTCAGAAATTATTTTGTGAGAATTATTTTGGTGAACCCAGGCTCTGCTAGTCCATTGGAGCAAATTTGATTTACTTCAGTTGTTCAGTGTTTGTCTTGGTGATGATGATTATATAACCTCCCTTGACAGCTTGTTGCATATAACTTTTTTCTAAAATTTAGCCTTGATTTTCTTAGTATAAAGAACACTTGTGGTCCACTGTTTTGGTTAGGCAGCAAATTCTTCCTACCTCCATTGGTCATTTTCCAAGCTAAATGTGCCCAATTCATTCAGCCTTTCCTTGTAGAACTTCTCATCAGCAAAGCTAACCACACTTTATCATGCATCAGCAGGAGGTGATACTTCCCCTCTATGCAGCATTGTCAGACGGCAGTTGGAGTACTGCATCCAGTTTTGGGCACCGTACTTCAAGAAGGATGTTGACAGACTTGAGAGGGTCCAGAGGAGGGCCACTCATATGGTTAGGGGCTTATAGGACAAGCCCTATGAGGAGGGACTGAGGGACCTGGACCTCTTCAGCCTCCGCAAAAGAAGGCTGAGAGGTGAACTTCTGGCCACCCACAAATTCATTAGGGGGACGCAGCAAGGGATCGGAGATACTTTATTCACCAGTGCGCCTCTTGGGGTAACAAGGAACAATGGTCACAAACTGAGAGAGAGCAGATTTAGGCTAGATATCAGGAAAAACTTCTTCACGGTAAGGGTGGCCAAAATTTGGAATGGGCTTCCTAGGGAGGTAGTGCTCTGTCCTACCTTGGGGGTCTTTAAGAGAAGGCTTGATAGGCATCTGGCTGGGGTCATCTGGCCCCAGCACTCTTCCCTGCCTAGACAGGGGGTCGGACTCGATGATCTGTTGAGGTCCCTTCTGACCCTAGCATCTGTGAATCTATGAACTCATTTCCTGACTCAGTCACAAACTTTTTACGTTCCTCTGAAACTTCAGTTTTCTTTCTTGAAATATGATGTCCCCATTAAAGCATTGTTCTCCAGTTGAGGTCACATCTGTTCCAGGTGGAACTCATCAAAGGCTCATAATACCAAAGCGGTTTATACAAATGCATAAGCCATTTCCTATCTGCTTCCTCCTCATTAATTTATGTTAAATTCTGCTCTGTGCCCAGCAACGATCCCCCATGTAGATTATCACTTACTTATAAGTGAACTATTTTGCCATTGAATTATTTTGCTGTGTTCAGCCCATTGCTTCAGTGAAAAAATCTTTTTGCATTTCATGGAAACAGAGGGACATCTCATTTCTCTCCTATTCACCGTCTGCCACTTACTAGAGTATCAGCACACCTTTACAATCTTCAATTTACTGGCTCATTCCTATCTGGATTTATTCATTTCTTCCTGCCTATGGAAGGACCTTCAAGCTGACTGTATTACCATGGACAGGTGCTCTGAAATGAATGAGACTGTTCACAACCCTGAGAGCTGCTGCTGTTAGATGCATGTGCTGGTTGCACTCCTTGAGACTTTCCCTGCAGCCATGGCAGCTAGACTGACTTTTCTTTGAAGTCAGTCACTTTCCAGAATCTTAACTTTGATTTAGAGTTGCTGGTACATCATCCGTGTGGTTGCTAACTGTTTCTACGCCCAGCTTCTTGGGTACAGCTGATCTGAATTTTTTGCAATGCTTTACCTTGTTGCTTCTTGTCTCTTCCTTGTGATCTTCCTGTTTTCTTGTCTTATTACTGTGAAGGCTTTGTATATAGACCTGTCTGAAAATTTTTCTTGGATCTACAGCTGAATATGGAAAGTTTTGGAAATTTCTTAGAAAGTGCAAGGGTGGGGAGAGAATTCTCCTACCTCACGAAGCAAGGAAAACATCTTTTATTTATTTTTCCTCCCACTGTCTGTTTCATGTCAGACACAAAACCAAATGCAAATCTGAGGCTCTGTCCACTCTACAACTTTTAACCATTTGTGGTGTTTAACAGATGCGGTATGCCAGCTCAAGCTATATATGGCTTTTTCATTCTGACCAGAGGCTAAGCTTGCAAACCATTGTTTACCTATTACTAAATCCAAATGGGGTTGAATAAACTTGACTTCTTTGTGTCAGCAGAATCTGAGGGTTGTATGTGGGTATAATTTACATGTCTGTAAGGTGGAGGAGAGGGGTGGTAGTAAAAAAAGAACAGTCAAGAGGATGCCAGTGGAAATGGGCCCTACTTGAACTTGCATCCTTAAAGAGTGCTGAGTGCAAGGGCAAAGAGGATGGTACTGCAGAGGCAGCTGTTTTTGCCAGTGCATGTACATACCCCTTTTGCAACCCCGTAAGCTATAAGTGTTAACATTTCCTGGGAAGACCAAAATGCTTCATAGAGAAATGGAAATATGGGATTGGATTCTTTACCCCCACTACCATCCTAATGCAGTTCTCCAGTGTCCCTGTAGGAGCAGGAGGCAGCAGGCCTTTTTTGCTGAGAGGAAAGTGCTACATGGAGCATTTGTTTGGGGCACAAACTGAATGCTTCAGCAAACACTAGTGTCACTTTTTCTCTGTGTTTAGTTTTCAAATACATATGTGCACTGATTTTGTGTAACGAATACTTATTATGATCCCTTTCCTCTAACCATCCCATTGTGCTCCTCTCTAATCCCCTCACAAAACCTCTCTCATCCATCCTGTACTCTCCATGACAGGGTCTTCCTCCAGGCTTTCATAGATCCTCAGGCTTTATAAACACTGATCCCTACTTTATCAGCAAATTTGGTAATTGCTTGGCATTTTTGCCTGCAGAACATTAACGTGAATTGTTACAGTCTCCTCTCTGGAAAATTTTAAGTAAAAAACGTAATGACAAGTTAAGGGTTGTGTTCACCCATGCAGTCTGACTTCTTCTTTATGCTGTTCTGATCACAGAAAACATCTGCAGATTTGTCTGAGATGCCATAGTTACTTTGCATTTCCCCAAAGAAGCTGTATAGTGGCTGCACAAGCAGTGAATCTATCCATAGGGTTAAATTTTAAAACTCATTAGCCATCACATTGTAGCATTCCTTTTGAATATCTTGTTTAGTTTTCCTATAGGAAAATTTTCCTACAGGAAATTCTCAGGCATAGTTACATTTAAGTTAGATTGTGGTTAAGAATGCATATCAGAAACTTGAGTACAAAACATGTTTTTGTGTTAGTAACATTCCTGCAACATTTAGACCAGAATAATAACAATAATAAGCAAGTTGGCCAAGCCAAAAACTCAAGTTACTTTTGCTTGTTTTGACAGGCCTTCTTTGTGAGGAGAACATTGATGACTGCATGCCAGATTCAGGAGGGCCTCGCTGCCTTAATGGAGGACAGTGCATAGACCAAATTGGGGGCCACAGCTGTCTTTGTCCTTCAGGCTTCGGAGGCAAGCAGTGTGAGGGGGACATTAATGAATGCCTCTCCAACCCTTGTAGCCCTCGTGGTAGCCGAGACTGTGTTCAGCTGGTCAATAATTATACATGCATCTGCCGCAGTGCCTTTACTGGTAAGTACCAGGACACAGTCCCTCTGTTTCCTCCTGAATTAATCAAAACATGGTCTTTTCTTGGTTTTTCATTTTTTTTGATGCTATTAAGCTATCTATTCTATTTCCCTGGCAATCCATGACTGGTCCTTATGCTGTCTTCTAGTGATTGCATAAAACCAGTTTTATTTCAGAAACCTCAAGAAATGGGACTTCCACAGTCACCTTTGAAGATTATCCTTTACCTCAAGACACTTAGCTGCTAGAAGTGTTTTTCTTGTATTCATCACTTTTCCATCTTAATTTCCTGTTACAAATTTTTCCCCATCATCGTCTGAATTCTCTGCCTTTGAGTTTACAGATGTTTGAAGGATGTATGATTTGTGTGTCGTTTTCTCCATGCCTTTCTCATTTTTATATAAACCATATGCGTTTAATTTCTCCCCAAACCAGTCCCAGCGTACAGTATTCGTATTTGGGTCCTCCCCCTTCCCCTTCTATTCACTCTAGTTTTTCAATATCATCTTGGCAGTGGGTCCAGAATTGACCCTCTCGTAAACCATGGCACATGGGAGACAGTCAGGGTGATGGGATGAGAGAGGAATATTTGCTGAAAGGGTTTCCTTTTGAAAAAGAAAGGCAATAGTTGGTGGTCCTTCTCCATGCAACTAAGTTTCTCCACTTTTCTTTCCCTCCTTTATGCGTCTGCAACAGGCCGTCACTGTGAAACTGTGATAGATGTGTGTCCTCAGAAGCCTTGTCAGAATGGAGGTACTTGTGCTGTTGCCAGTAATATGCCTGATGGATTCATCTGCCAGTGTCCTCCAGTAAGTGACCTGCCTTCAAATTGCATTGCTTAGTCCAGTTTTCTTGTACCACGACAGCTCTGAAAGCAGAGCAAAGAACAGCAGAGCTTCTGTTATGTTTTGATTTCATAATTTTTTTCATTGATTCACTTTGTAAGTGGAATATACCCCTTCTGCACTGCCTGGAAAGCCCTGTCCTTTTCCACCACTCTTGTGCCTCCCAGCTGAGGAAGTAAGTGCAGTCCCTTCACCAATCAGTCAGTGACTTTTGAATGCCATAGGCAGTTATATGGAACTTGGCATTGCTCATTACTACCACCAGCAAGTTCCTTGTTGAGAAAGCTTAACTACCTTTTCTGTTAAATATTTAATACTAGGCTTTTGGGTCCTCCTTGGGTCCATAGGCAGATCTAGAATTTTGAAAAAGAGGGTGCAGATGGCGAGGTGCAACGTTGCATATAAAGCAGCACATTTTTTCCAGCTAAAAATAAACTAGAAGCTTTACTAATATACTTGGGACCTAGGGCTGTATTATGCAGTTTAAGATTGAAGCAAAAACAAAGGTAACTTCACTGGAATGAGTTAAAAATGATCTGCAGAGCTGTGCAATAGGAGCTTCATTACTAGGAGCAGCTAACAGACAGTAGCATGGCAGAAAGGCTAGCTTGACTGGTGGAACATCAAAACCATTACAAAGGAGAAGGTCATTAACACCTATGGAATGAAGAGTTTAGAAGAGATCAGATTGATTATAATGAGCCAAGAAGTCAAGTGACTCCCTCAGCACTGCCTGACTAGTAGCAACTGCTGTCACTGCCAGACAGTTGGTTTTAAGCTTTGGTAGACGGGGAATCAAAGGGGTGCAAGTGCACGAGTGCACTCCCCCTGGATCTGCCCCTACTCAAGTCCACTTGCTTTGCTCCAGACTATGCCAAGCCCTTTTGTTGAATAAAAACCAAACTAACATTTGTACCAGCTTTTCAAGGACAGGCGTGCACACAACTTCATCTACTGATCAAGCATGGGAGAATTAATTTTGCAAGGCATGAACATTTTGGAAAGTTATTAGAAAACCAGGGTTATAGTGGAAGGTAAATAAAACCTATCTTGGTTTATATGTGGTATATTTATCCAAGCCTGGAAAATGTGTCTCAGGAAGTTGCAAGACTTGGAAGTTTAACTATGGGAGATGCACTTCAAGGGTGAAAAGCACTATAGAAATGCAGTGTGAGATAGGAGAAAGCAGCTGCATGGAACAGAGACGTGTTCATTGGTGGATTTTTATGCTTGGCTTACCTGGTCACTGAAGGTTCTTAGAGCATGTCTTTGTGGTTTAGATCTAGGGAAGCACCGCGCATTCCTAGGAAGGGGGTACTGGCTTTGATGTGCGGGGTGGAGATGCGGTTATTCATTGATAAACTCATGTCTCTGCATAACAAAATTGAGAGCTTATCTCTTAAGAGTCTTACTCAATATGATCTCCTGCCCCCCCTTTTTTTCTCTTTAGGGTTATTCTGGGTCTAAATGTGAATTCAGCAATACTTGTGGGCAAATGAGGTGCAAGAAAGGGGAACTGTGCATCCAGACATCCTCAGGGCCCCGTTGTTACTGTCCAGAGCTCTTGGTGGGTGAGGAGTGCCGGGCTACTGCAGGCTGTACCAGTGCACCCTGCCAGAATGGGGGAAGTTGCCATCCTAGGCCTCAGGCTCCTTATTATTACTGCCAGTGTCCCAGTTACACTGAAGGCAGCCAGTGTGAGCATTCAGTACACCCCAGCCGAGAACCTGAAGGGTGTCTGGGTCAACACTGCATGGAACGAGCAAAAGATGGCTACTGTGATGAAGACTGCAACACGCACGCTTGCCAGTGGGATGGAGGGGACTGTTCGCTGATGATAGAAGATCCCTGGGCCAACTGTTCTTCGTCGCTGCGCTGCTGGGAGCATTTCAATGGCTTGTGCGATGAGGCCTGTAATACGCCTGAGTGCTTGTTTGACAACTTTGAGTGTCAGCAGAACCCTAAGACATGCAAGTAAGGTCCAATGCCGGCAGCAGTGGTTTCTGTAACTAATCCATCTCTTGCTATTGCTTTTAACAACTTTATATGCTTGGCCTGCACAGCTTCTGCTCCCTCAGCCTTATGAACATTGCATAATCACAATGCTCTCGCTGCACCTCATACCTCAAAGGACTTTTCCTTCTTTCACCTGCTTTTCAGCTCTTTGGAAATAATATCTGGAAGATGCTGAGTGTTGGGGGCAAAATGACAGTTTGATCAATGACACCATGTGGTACCTTGCTTGCTGGATCGGATGGAGCAGTCCGTGGGTCTTGCTTCGCAAAGAAATGCTATGTATGTGAGCGCACCACAAACTAGGGCAGAGCAGGATTTAAATTTTTTGGTTTTTTTCACGTGTTGGTCTCGTGTCTTCCGTTTCACCCCCCCAAAAGTACTGCATCTCTTTGGCTCAGGTGCAATGTCTGAGACCTAAAGGTGTGACTTATGTGCTGCCCTGTTTCCTGGCTGGCAGCATGTGGTACAGCTTTACCAACATAACCCGTCACATGGTAGGGCTGGACATGCTGTGCTGTGTCTCCAGTATTTGGTGCAGCCCTCTTGACTGATCTAAATAATTCTCTCATTTTGCTCACACTACAATTGAATCAGGTGCTCTATGCTTCCCACTTATACCTTGCTCCAGATGTGAGGTCACATTGTAAATGGTACCCTCAAGATTAATTTTCTCACCTAAAATGCCTGAGTCTAATCCATCATTTTGAGCTTGACCCACACTGGAATGGAGTAGCTAGTGGTGGAAGGCTTTGCATCCTAGTTGACAGGACCCCAGGCTACAGCTATCAGTATGTTACTGTCTATAACCCTCTGCCCCTCTTCCAGGTATGGTAAATATTGCGAGGATCACTATGCAAATGGACTCTGTGACAAAGGATGTAACAACGAGGAGTGTGGTTGGGATGGTCTGGACTGTGCCGGTGACAAAGCTGAGAAACTGGCGGAAGGTACCCTTATAATTGTGGTGCTAATGCCCCCTGAACAGCTGCTTTCAGATGTCCATAGCTTCCTATGGACTCTAGGAACCCTTCTACACACCAACCTGAGAATAAAACGAGATTCCCAGGGAAAGCTGATGGTATACCCATACTATGGAGAGAAGTCAGCACGGAGCCGGCGATCCGTGTTGGTCTTTCGCAAGGCCAGAGAGCTTGAACAAGAGGCCATTGGGTGAGCAAATTTCTTTGCGTTTCTCTACTAAGACTGTGAAGTCTGCATTACAAGGTGTGTACAAAACATACAGTATTTTAGGCCAGGAGATGTATTAACCTTCTGCCAGGGGGAAACCTAAATCTATCAAGGTTGTTTAATCCAGAGCAAGATGAAAGTATTAGCCTGGAAGACTCTCTATTTTTGTCTGGTGAAACTCTGATTAGCAGGACCTATTCTCTCTTCCTCTCTTACAGCACAAAGGTGTTCCTGGAAATTGACAATCGACAGTGCGCTGAAGAGTCGGACCAGTGCTTCAAAAATACAGAAGCTGCAGCAGCTCTTTTAGCAGCTCAGGCCATTAAGGGCATGGTGCCTTATCCTTTTGTGTCTGTTGAAAGTAAGTACCATTAAAGAAAAGGGTGAAAATTCTGGGGTGTGAAGGAAGCAAATGTTGGTTTTTTTTTGGTCAAATGGCAGATTTTGAGTCGCAGGACAGCCTTGTAACCGCTTCAGAGATCTTGGTGTTCAAATACAATTTCTGAGATCCTACAAAACCAGGGGTGGGCAATTATTTTGGGCAAAGGGCCGCTTACTGAGTTTTGGCAAGCCATTGAGGGCCGCATGACAGGCAGCCACAGGCAGATAAATATTAATCTTCTAAATTTTTTTAGGGGCCCCACAGGCTGGATAGAATGGCCTGGTGGGCTGCATCAGGCCCGTGGGCTGCATTTTGCCCACCCCTGCACAAAACCCTTATACACCTAGGACTAATTTACCGACATGCAGTAGGGGCATGTGTGTGTTGTGATGCACTTGCCTAAGGGTTTTTTTATTTTACATTCTATGTGATATGTTTTAAAAGAAAAGAAATAATCTGTCACACACAAGCTGGTGATCAGTTGGCAAAAACATGCAAGGGATTATCACATGATCTGACCCTCTTGCCTTCCTACTAGAATAGAAATTGTTCAAATGCAGTGTAACCTCATTATAGTGAACCCCTGAGAAAAGGGGACTGAGAAAAGAGTTCATAAAAGGGGTTGTTCACTGTAATAGGACTATTTAGTTTGCTGCATTGTTTTCATTCCAAAAAAAAAAAGGAAAAAAAAACAGTCCCTTCTGTTGAGTGCAGAGGATTCTTATAAATAGGGTTAGTTGTTATGAGGTTGTGCTGTGGTTCAGTCCCTCTACAAATTCAAAGATTTGCCTTTATGTGTACATAACTACACGTGCTCAATCTTTAGTGATGCTCAATCTTTTCTGTCTGGAGGGCTGGATGGGCAGTGCCTGGTCCATCCATGAGCCAAATTCAGCTGGTGTTCCTGATCCGGCACCCAGGTGGGCACAGCAGGCACCAGTTGGCTGTGTGGAGTGGGGTAGGGGGCAGGCCAGCCCCAACACAGCCCTGGAGGGGAAAGGAGTTTGACTTGGCCCTGTGGAGAGGAATGGGATGTGGCCTGGCTTTGCTGGTGGGGAGGGCGGAGTGGCATCACCAGATCACAGCCAGCCCTGCAGGGAGGGAAGGGCTTGTGGCCTGGGAGGAATGGGTGTGGCCAAGCCCCAATTCTGCCCCATGGGAGAAGGAGGCGTGGCTCAGCCCCAGCAGGAGGGAATGGGGTATGGCCAAGCCCCAACCACGTCCTGCTGAGGGAAGGGGGTGTGGCTCAGTTCTGGGGAGAGAGGGGCATAGCAATGTCCCAACCCAGCTCCATGGGGGAAGGGAGCATGGCCAGGCACTAACCCTGCCCTGTGGGGTGGGACTGGGGTGTGGCTTGGGGCCAATTCAGAAGTGGGGGGAGGTGTTAGGGGTTGCCCTGTGCGTTAGGGGCTGTGGCCCAGCCTGACTGGCTGCACTGGGCTTGGAGTTTGGGAATTTGGCAAAGGGAGGGTAGCCATTTTAATGGCCACTGCTCCAAGGCTGACAAATTTCCTTACCCATGGGGAGTCCCCATGGGCCAGATATGATGGCTCTGCAGGCCTTGTTTAGCCTACAAGCTGGAGATTGAGCACCCCTGATACACAGTAAAGCCATGACTTTAAACTGATCTTACAGCCGTATTTCAGGAACAAGTATCTTGAGGGAGCTGAAGTACTGAGCAAAGAGCAGCATCTTCAATTTAGCAGAAGTTCCTTTTGGCAAAGAACCAGATCTGTGTAAAAGCAAGTGGATGCTTTATTGAAGATGCAGTTCCTGAAATTGTGGTCCCAGTTTCTCACTTACAAGAAAGGCCATGTGTACAAGCTATGCAAGTTCTTCTGAAAAAAAAAAATAAATGAAGTCCTACTACAGTCATAAAATGCAAATTCTAAGACACGGGATAGAGGAAGATGATACAGCAAAGGTGTTGTGTACGTTAATTGTCGTACCAGCTCATCAGAATTTTCTCCGCACAGCCATAGTCTGAGCTTTCCAAAGCCTGATGAGTCTCTTATTCTAAACACATTGGGCACATCCAGATGAGCATGCATGTGCCTGTTGCAGCATCTCAAATCAGTTTGAGACACCGCAAGAGGCATGTTAAGAACTAAAAAATGTTCCCTGCACTGCCTATTTGCAGCCTGGGCTCTAAATTTGATACTTGAACCCATATCCTGGTGCTGGGACAGAGCTGCTGCCAGGAGGGAACTAGTGGAGGCAGGCAGGGGCTGAGAGTCAAGAATGAAGGGCAAGGGCAGGGCACTGGCATATCAGTGCTACTCAGTGCTCCGCATCCTGGTCAGCAAAGGGGGCAGGGGCAGCTCTGATTTTTCTACGTTAAAAAAACAAAAAGCAAACGCCAAAGTGTACAGATATTTAAAATTTTCATTATGATGATAGAGGCACTGCTAGGCTTCCAAATTGCTTTAAAATTGTAAATATATCAATAAAACATTGCCCAACTGATCTCTCTCTATATATAGTGGCATTTCATTTTAATCACAAAAGAACACAAAAGACCATGGATTTTCGGTATTTTAATGAGAGAATTTGAGTTTTTTTTATCAGAGTGTAACAGGGCCACCTCAAGGCCGGTCACACTGTCAGCCTTACCACCTGTCTAGAGCACTCTGCCCTGCCTTTTCTGCCACGTCTTGTAATAATTCCTGATGTAGCAATGTGGGAGGCTGCCCATTTTATGCCCCGATACCTAGGGCATTATGCACAGCTCCGAACCTACCCTTATACCACGTCCAATTCCTCACAGATGGCATCCTAAATTGCTATCCACTATTACTCCCCCCGCTCCACTGCTGAGCCACACTCAGTGTTTGTCCCAGCTTGGCCTCGGGTGTTCTCAGATGTGCCTGGGCTTCCTGCCCCCTCACTGGGGCCGTTAACACATGCCCCCTTCACTAGGGCCTCAACTCTGGCTACTCTGGTCAGCCCATGTGCAGTCCTTCAGGCCCCCTAAGGCTCTATGCTACACAGCTGCGGACCACTATTCTGCCCCCTCACTGAGTCTGTGGGGCCTTACGGCTCTAAGGTCTCAGGCATCCATAGACGTGCCTGGACCCCACTCTCTGCCTACAGCCCACTAGGGACTCGGGCATCTGCCGACATACCTGGACCCCACCATACCATCCGTCCCCAGCAGGATGTAGTTTTAGTCATTCCCTAGGACCTGGAACCTCCTTCATCCTCATAGTTTCTGCCCTTGACCTCCAGGTGTTCTGAGAGCAGCAGGTCTAGCCGTGCGTTGTTCTCTCTCTGGCTTCTTGCAGCAACTGCAGGCTCTACTGCTCAGAGCCTGCTCTTGTATTCTTTAGCAGATAGGCCCTCTGTCCAATCAGGCAGCCTCTTGCTGGCCATGTGACTCTCCTGATTTGGCAGTGCAGTCACCTGCAGGCTGTTCTGCTGCCTGCTGAGGCCCTTAAAGTGGCAGGGGCCAAAAGGGGCCCCGCCCACACCAAAGGTGCCCTGCCACACAGAGAATTTGCAGTTTTTAAACAGGGAACACCAGGATCTCTGCTAGTGAGACAAGTGGTGAGACCCAGGCAGTGGAGTCTGTTCAGGGCCAGCACCAGGGACCCAGCTGGAGGGCAGACAAGGTGGCTGACCTGGCCATTTGGGGCCAGGAGAACCTGCTTTGACAGTTCAAAGCGGGCCACTACAACGAGCACATCTTCCAGGCAGTAGCTGCCCAGATGGCAGGGCAGGGGCACCAGAAAATATGACAGCAGTGCCGTATGAAGGCCAGCTGTGCAGATACGGCCCAGTGGTAGCTAGTCCAGAGGTGCAGGAGGCTCTGCTAAAGTGCCTATATCACAGCCCAGGTGGCCATGCAGTCCCAATCCAGATCAGGCGCATGGCCTTGTGGCTGCATACTGTCATAGGTGGCAGTAGGTCATAGCCGGGCAGCAGCGTCCACTGCCAGACTGCTGCAGTGGGTAGAGGGTATAGGGGTCACTTTAGGTTAGGGCTGCTTCAGCAGTCCAGCTGGCACAGGGGCTAGTCTCCCCAGATACTAAGTGGATGGGCTCCAAAAGCTCCTGAGAGCAAGTAGCCATCAGCTGCTTGCCAGGGCAGCTTTTTATATTGCTGGGGTCAGCACAGGTGCTGGCCCTAGCCTCTAGCTCCCCCTGGCTGCAGCTGCGGGAGGAGCTGTGCAGGGTCAGTTTTCCCCAAGTGGCACAACTTGCCCCACACCAAAGTGCATGTTCAGGCATGTGTGCTAAAGCAAAAATCCCCAGCACAAATTTGTGCCACTCTTATTTGAGCTGCTGCAAGGTCATGTGCCTTCATGTGTGGATGTGCATATTGTGAGTCAAAGCATTAAATAACAATAAGAATAAAAAAGAATAAAGGAAGATCAGAGGCTCTCATCTGAGGGGTGGGGAGAAAAGAAGCCATTTTTCTTGATGTTTCACTTGGAATTTTTAGGTGAACGTGTATCACGAGGGAAGACCCAGATGCTTTACCTGCTTGCTGTGGTAGCTTTGATCGGCCTTATAATCCTTCTTTTGGGTGTGATGATGGCAAAGCGAAAACGGAAGCATGGCTCCCTCTGGCTCCCTGAGGGCTTTATTTTGCACAGAGACTCCAGTAACCACAAACGCAGAGAACCAGTTGGGGAAGACGCAGTTGGATTGAAGTAAGGGTCTCTTCAGGTCACTGAGCACCTTTGTGCTAATACATTCTAGGTTGTTGGAACACAAAAGTAAAAAAATACATAACTAACATGGTGTATAAATCCCTTATCAGAAGCACTTAAAACTCTGTGGGAAAATCACTACTTATGCCAACATTTCACATGCCTTTCTCTGAATTTACCTTTGTGCCCTTGGACAGAAGGTCTTGTACTTGGTAATCAGTCATGGATGCTAGATCTATTAATAGCTGTTGAACAGAATGGTTGGAGATATTTCCTCTGGTATCTCTTAATCAATAATGATGGATGCCAGAGAGGCTAATGAATAGGGGATAGATCACTCTAGAGATATCCAGTTTAGTGCTTTCTTTCTAAAGCATCCACCCTTGCCACTGCTGGAGACAGGATACTAGGGGAGATGGACTATTGGTTTGACCCTGTAGGGCACTTATAAACTATAAGAACATAAGATGTTAATAGTGGAAGCTCTGTCTCCTGTATAAATTTAAAATGAGACTGAGCAGAGCACAAAAAAAACCCAATTCTACATAACCATTGGCAATGCCCTGCAAACAGGGAGATTTTTTGAAGCTTTTTATTTGTAGAAATAATGTTATTTAGGGAAAAAAATAACATGTCCATTCATTTTCTTGATTTTTTTACCCCTCACCCCCAACATAGCCAGATTAAGAGCTCTAACTGTACTTGAAGTAAATTAAAATAGTGGTCCATATTTATCAAGAATAAAACTGCAGAAAAGTCAGAAGCCAATAATATGGTCCTGTGTGTGTGTATTGTGGTTTGTCAATTAAATGTTTTGAGCCAACAATGTGCTCTTGTTGGAAAAAAGGCCAGCATCATATTGGGCTATATTAACAGGAGTGCCCCTTGTAAGTCAAAAGTAGTGTTTTTTTCCCATTCTGTTCAGCACTGGTGAGAACTCACCTGGAGTACTGGGTCCAGTTTTGGGGCTCCACACTTTAAGAAAGATATGGATAAATTGGAAAGTGTCGAGCACAGAGCATCAAAAATGATTCGAGGCCTGGAAAACATGATTCATGAGGAAAGACTGAAAGAACTAGGATTACTTTGCCTGGAGATGATGAAAGGGATGTGGGGGTTATAACACTTTTCAAATACCTGACTGGTATAGAGAGGGCAGAGAAGGGCTTTTCTATGTGGCTGTAGGAGCAATGGACTCAAGCTGCAATGGAGGAGATTTAGGTTGAAGATTAGGAGGAACTTTCTGAACATTAGGATGGTCAAACATTGGAACATCCTCCTAGAGAAGTTGTGGCATCTCCATCCCCGAAAATCTTCAAGAGCAGGTTAGACGGACACTACTTGGCTGGGATGATTTAATCAAGGATGATCTTTCCTTGAGCAGGGGGTTGGATTAGATGACCCTATGAGGGTCCTTCTGCCATATTTTCCTATGATCCTAAGGTTGCATGCTGTGAGACTGTGTGTTTCTTGCTAGCTTTGTGATGGGCATAAGAGCAGCCTGATGTTTTGGTCCACCTCTAGCAACCGGAGCTTATGTAAAAGTTGGGGATGTTAACAGCTTCCAGGTTAATGGACTTGGTCCTGAAGCTAAAACATTAGAGGTTCTAGAATGATTGGGTTCCATAGCCATGCTCCATGTCCTCGGTAAATGGAATAGAGCTCAAAGGACCTGCAGAGGCCACCTAACCACTATGCCACTGTTTTTTTTGGCCATGCAACTAGCTGCATGGCTACAATAGCATTGTCTTATGGAAGCAATACCATCAGGACAAGAGTTAGTAGGTAACCTCTGCCTTCCAGCATGGCTCTTGACCTCTTACTTTCGCAACTTTGCTGTTTCTTTAAAAAATATGTATTGGGTGTGGTTGATAGTAAAATTGTTCCATTGCAGTATGTGCAGCCACAGAAAATTGGACTGAGTTTTCATAATTATGGTAACAGTTTGTCACTCTGTGAAATGACACGGATATCCTTTTGTTTTAGAAATCTGTCAGTACAAGTTTCTGACGGCAATCTGGCAGATTGTACTGCAGGGGAACATTGGTCAGGTGATAGGGGACCTCAGCCAAAGAGAGCTAAGGTAAGAGATGTCAGGTGTTGGTTGTTGTGCCAGGTACTGAAATGGATTTTTGTTTAAGGAAAAGTTTTTGTTTGTTCTGTTACGTGCTCTTGCCTACAATATTCCCATTGCCTTTAAAGAGAAATAACCACCCCCCAAAGTTAACAACCTTCCAGATGCAAACCCTGCACTTCAGATAGTGACTCCACAACCATCACTTTATCTCAGAGATCCATCCCCATGCAGAACCTCTAATCACAATGGGGGGCAGAAGCAGATCTAACAATGCCAATATGTCTGTGAGTTTAAGACAGTTTTCACCTGGTGGGACCTTAAAGGCTAAGAATGCCAAGCTGAGGTTTAAAGGGAGATACTGATTTCAAAAAAGCATCTTTGATAGTGTGTGCTAATGGTTTTGAAGTGAATCTTCATTTTTCCTGCTTAGTCTGAAGATGAAGCATTGCTCCCAGAAGCAGATGAGCAGGTAGATCAATGCCAGTGGACACAACAACACCTCAGGGCAGCTGACATAGATGGGACCACATCCCTTGCTCTTACACCACCTCAGGCAGATCAAGAAGTAGATGTCCTGGATGTCAATGTTAGAGGACCAGGTAAGTAATAAGTGTGTCTGGGACAGCTGCAGGTCCATACATGACTCAAACTTTGGGCCAGCCATACCCATAACGGTGAACATTTCTACTTCATGGACTGCTTACAATTGCAGAAAGTGTCAAGACATTAGCAGAATTACAGAAAGCTAAGCTGTAGTTGAGGTGAGACAGACTGCTATCCTATAGTTTAAGAAACCAGACCTGGGAGGTGGGCTTATGGTCTGTACCACATAGAGTATGGTGAAATTTAATGGGAGGGAACATACTGTGTCCAAATTGTGTGATGCATTGTTGGAGAAGGAATTGAATAAAAGTAGTTTAGGGCAAGGTGTCTAGTAAGGGCATCTTAATGGTCAAAGGAGGTGGCCAGGGCATGGCCGTGGCAGAGATTCAGGGTGAATTGCCATATTGGAAATGACCAATAGCTCAGCTACTGTCAATAGCCTTATTAATTGAACAGTCAGCACCTGAGGTTGCAAGAACCAGTTGAGTAGTGTTGTAGATGTGGGCACACACAGATGCATGTTACATAGACTAGGAAGGAAAGAGAGAAGGTCTCTTGACCATTATACTATCTTTTTCTGTAGCTATTGGTTTTCTTAATTAGACCATATGCTGGTTGTCAGAGCATGAGGAAGTTTTTTCTTAAACTCAGTCTACTAACCAGCTAAATGTATTTGTGGTGTCCTGCCTTCCTTTACTATAAATAGATACAGGGCCATGTCATCTGATAAAAGATCTGGTGGTCATTCTGTACCCCACTGAGGGTACTTTGTTCCTTGAGATAAACAACTAGCTATGAGGGGTTTTTTTCTTGACTACAGCAGCTGAAAATGTGACTCTCGTGCTGTAATATTGTGGGGTTAATATCTGATCTCATTCCAGGTCTAGTTCTCTATCTGTTGCAATGTAGGGGGTTCATCATTTTTAGTGATCAGATTTCCTTCCTAATGTTGTCTAACATACAGTTTGCTTTCTGACCCCTGTCATAATTACTAAATATGAAGTGATGAGGAAACAGCTCTTCTTTGTGGGCATTAAGAGTTTACACCATCAGTTTCCTAGCTTTAGTTCAAACTAAGTTTCTAACCCTTCGGGAATGACACCTTCTGACGTGAATCTACTTCTACTTTCTCGATGCATCTTTGTGGCTGCGCAAAGTTTTACCAAGCAGCTGCAGGATGAAAATAAAACCAGGACATTCTTATTGCAGCTGTTCACAGAAGACAACTGTAGAACTCTTTAATTCTGTCATGTGCAGGCTGCTGTTGTTCAAATGTCTTCTTGCAACTGCAAAGGCAGGTAGTGAAGTTAGTCACAGGGGAAGAAAACACTGACTAAGTGAGGAGGAGAGGTAGAGTAGTGGAGAAGTAACTATATTTGTAGACTGGTGATAGGCTAATAGAAGTCTTTCCTTGTGTAGCAGACAAGAGGCTCTTGAGAGGATGAAAACAGGTTAAGGGGAAGGGGTTGGAGCATCAGATTTCAGATGTTTCTTGGCCACCAGTTGGAGTTACCTTGTAAAGACCAATGACTGCCCTAGTTAGATTTATCACCTTCCCCAAACCCATCCCTGGATGGGGAGGGGACAAGAGGGCAGGGCTTCTCACAAAGATGTTGCCCAATGACTTTGTATGTAGGGTTTTTACATCCTAATATTCTGTAGTCCCCATTTAAAAGCAAAGTTTTTTTCCCTCTAGGTAGTACTTGCCCTGTGAGTCTCTGCAGCCTGGCTTTTTGCTCTAACAACTCTTTGGTCCCAGCTCCAGCAGGGAGCCCTAGGCTGTATGGTCTCTCTCAAGTGAAGCTTCTACAAAGTGCTGTTTTGTTCTTTGTGTTGTACATGAAGTGAGTCACAGGAGGGGAATGGCATTCTTTGCAGTGGAGCTATTGTGAGCTCATAACCAATGTAATATGTCATTATTGGCACCTTTGGTAATGCCACCTGTCATTAAGTTAGCTTAATCCTCATTATGATAAGACCCTCTCTTTGGTTGCTTAACTTTTAATTCTTTGGGCAGGAATTTTGCATGCCTGGTATCTGCCTCTGGCCAAACTCTTTGGAGTTTCAGTTAAAATAGTCCAGTCTTTTCAAACAGCGAGATTAAGGAAAAATACATTGTTTTGCTCTTCTTTTTTTTTTTTTTTAAAGTATCCTGATTGCTGTTTTCTTGAGAGAGCATTTGTGCTTCTGTGCTTGGAGACTTGGTGAGAGAAAGGGGCACCGCGCTGTGGGATGTGCCTTCTTGCTATTCCCATAAAAACTAGGGCAAATATAGCCTAGTTGTAAGACTCTGCCAATAGCAGTCCATCCATACATGCTCAATAGAGCTTTGTTAGAGCCTAGAAGTTCAAATTTCCAAGTATTATATATGTGCACTCACAGTCTGAGCATACCCCATCCAGCAGAGATGCAAGGGATGATCAAGTTTTTCCGTTCCACTGCTGCTTCTCTGGCCACGGTGGAGTTAGTGACCAGAGGTAAGAAAATCAGGAGTCTCCTTTGTTCTCAGTACTCCCTCTGTTGTATACCAGGGCAGTATACAAGACAAAGCAGCCTGTCTAGAAGGTAGAGGACTAAAGAACAGTGCACAGATTAGCACAGGCTCAGACACTGGGCAGAAGGTTTTATAGACACCAGAGCACAGCACTTGGCATTGAACCCACAACTCCTCAATCTCAAAATTGTCTGCTATCCAGCAAATCCTGTGAAACCCACTGGCAAAAGATGTCTTAACCTCTGTGGACCAATCACTAAACGGGGCTAACAACTTACTGTTGCTACCCGAAACACTGTTAGCTCAAATGTTGTGGTTTTAAAGGCCCCAGTCCTTGCCAGTGATCTTGGTAAAGGGTTGGTATGGTTCTCCACTGTGAGAACTTTGTTTTATGTATTTTGAAAACTTTAGAAAGTATATTAAAAGAAAGTGAAGGCAGGAACATGAAGCACTCAAAGCTAGGAAATGCCAGGATTTTGTCCTTTCTACCTTAATCTAGTACCCCCTCTCCTCTTTTTTATGCCCACAAAAACTAGTATGCAATCACTGAAGCCTCTGATTACATACCATTTTTTGCACAAGACACTTTTGCCTTGGCACACAGGATGGCAAGTGCCCTGGGGGAGAAATCGGGTTGGGTGGTGAAGAAAGTTGTTTTCTGAGGACTCTAGATATAGCACAGGTATACCCACTCGTTCTAGAGGCTAAAAAGCAAGCAGTGCATAAGGCAAGTGAACGCGGTGTCATGGTTAGCTTAACTGAATGCTGCCCAGGAGACAGGGCTGTCCTGGGGGGGAGAATCGGGGCAACTGCCCCAGGTCCTGTTCTTCAACATCAGGGTGCCAGGTGCAACTTTGTATGCACCCATTAGAAAAGAACTGGCTGCAAATGGCGGAGCCACTGCAGCACGCGGTGTCCGCACCACAATTTAAAAGCCAGCTATCTATCCAGCTGAGCGGTGCTGGGCTGATGACATCAGCCACTGGTGCCACCATGAGAAAAATAAAAGGTACTCATTAAGCATGCCAGTAACTGTGACAAAGAAACTGAGGCAGGCTTGGAACACCATGACAGGGAGAGGCGCCCAGGCTGTGAGAGGCCAGCCGACCGGGAGCTTGGAAGACTTCAGTTCACCGGCTGGAGGGACAAGCTAGTGTCCGCTCCCTGGATTTAACTCCTGGAACACCGAGGGAGTGCTTGAGGGTCCAAGAGGGACACTGGACCCAGGGGAACCAACGCCAGCTGCATCCGGAACATAAGTACTTATAAGTGGAGCCACCTATTCCCATCACATGTCAAGAAAGTTTTGGCAAGCTTTTCGAGGGGAGGGCCTGCTCTCACTTGGGGGGGACCCAGAACAGAAAGATCGCCACAGCCCGCCCTGAGCTTGCCCCCACCCCCTTGGAAGAGCCTGGCCCCAGCCCACAGTGGCACCCTAACCTGCCCTGTGCAGTTCTGGGGGCATTTGCCCCCTGTGCCTCCCAGGGTGCATGTTACAGCAAGAGCCGCTGGGGGCTGTCCTGCCCCCTGCCCCCCCCCTTCCACTCCCTCCCCACTGTCAGTTTAAGTAAGGCAAAAGGACCAGTCTGGTCCTGTTGTTATATACAGGGCTACGGCCCTGTCAGTAACATACAATGGCTAGTACTAGCAGGGATAGTGACAAATGGAGAAAATAAAGCTCAGGTCAGAAAAAAAAGAGAGAAGAAATGGTTAAGGCACTGAAAGATTCGCTGGAAAATGTTATGTTTTCTAAAAGTTTCAAAGTTTCATAGTTGGTAGGGTTGGAAGGGACCTGAGCAGGTCATCAAGTCTGACCCCCTGCCATGGGTAAGAAAAAATGCTGGGGTCAAACAACCCCGGCAAGGTGATTGTCTAGCCTCCTTTTGAAGACCCCCAGGGTAGGAGCGAGCACCACTTCCCTTGGAAGTTGGTTCCAGATTCTACCCGCCCTGCTTGTGAAGTAGTGCCTCCTGATGTCTAGCCTGAATCTACTCTCAGTCAACTTATGGCCATTATTCCTTGTTACTCTTGGTAGTGTTCAGGGGAACAGGGACTCTCCCACTGCCTGCTGGTCCCCCTTGGCCAGTTTGTAGATGGCCACCAGATCTCCTCAGCCTTCTTTTGTGGAGGCTGAACAGGTTCAGGTCCCATAGCCTTAACCTCATAGGGCCTGCCCTGCTGCTTCCTGATCATGTGAGTGGCCCTCCTTTGGACCCTCTCAATGCTGTCCACATCCTTCCTAAAATGCGGTGCCCAAAACGACGCAGTACTCCAACTGCGTCCTGACCAATGTCACATAGAGGTGGAGGATCACCTCCCTGTTTGTGATGCATCTGTGGATGCATGACAAGGTGTGGTTAGCCTTACTGACCATGTCCCCACATTGGCGGCCCATGTTTATCTTGGAATCAGTAGCGACTCCAAGATCCTTTTCTGCCTCTGTGCTGATGAGAAGGGAGTTCCCCAGCCTGTAGGCATGCTGCTGGTTCTTCTTCCCTAGGTGCAATACCTTGCACTTGTCAGTATTGAAACCCATCCTATTCTCATCCACCCACCCCTGTAACCTGTCTAGATCTAGTTGCAGCCTGTTCCTCTCTTCTAGCATGCCCACTTCTCCCCACATCTTAGTGTCATTTTCGAATTTGAACAAGGTGCTTTTCACCCCCTCGTCCAAGTCGCTGATGAAGATGTTGAACAGTGCGGGCCCCAGGACCGAGTCCTGGGGAACCCCACTGCCCACATCCTTCCAGGTTGAATAAGACCCATCCACCACCACTCGCTGGGTGCGGCCCTCCAGCCAATTTGCAACCCATCTGACTGTGTAGGCATGGAGGAAAATGCTAAACTAATGGACTCCAGCAATTTGTATCCAGGCTGAGGAAGAGGACAATAGTGCAAAATGTGCACAGGCTATTTACATAGAAAAATCTGACAACACTATTTCCCCTGAAGAATATGTATGATCCAGAAAATTGGCCATATTTACTCAACAACGAGACGGTAGACATTTTAGTGGAGAGAAGGCCTGAGAAAATAACTGGTAATAACTATGTTTTTCCAAAGAATGATGACAATCAACACTTTTCAGAAGACATATACACATGGAGTCTGCCAAATGGAGAAAGGGTTGAAAGAAATTGGCTGGTATACTGGAAGAAAGCTGATGCAGCTTTTTGCTTCTGCTGCAAATTGCATGGCTCAAAAATGGCACGCAAATTGGTAAAGGGAGGCTGCAATGCCTGGACACATCTCAATGACAGATTGCGATCTCACGAATTATCCAATGAGCATATTGTAAACTCGACAAAATGGATTCAAATAAAGAGAAGATTGTCTGCAATAAAGAGGATAGATGAGTACGCACTATGAGAAATATACAAGGAGAAGAAACATTGGCATTCAGTGTTGACACATGTTATAGCAGTTGTGCAGTACCTAGCTGAGCATAATTTAGCATTTCGTGCAAGGCTTTATAAACATAACAATGGTAACTTCCTGGGATTAATTGAGATGATAGCTAAATTCGATCGTATGATGCAAGAACATGTCTGATGCATTAAAAACAAAGAAATCCATGACCATTAGCTTGGGCCTCGTATTCAAAATGAGCTGATCTTGATGATGGCATTGCAGGTGAAGAAAAAAATTCTTGAACAAGTGAAGACTGCAAAATACTTTGCAGTTATTCTTGACTGTACCCTTGATCTGAGTCACCAAGAGCAGATGTCCCTGGTGCTTTGTTATGTTGATGTGACTTCTGAAGAAGTGAAGGAAATGGAGAATTTTATTGACTTTCTTCTGGTTCAAGACAAAAGTGGACAAGGACTGTCAGATTCTCTCATAGCTCTGCTGGATGGATGTGGTCTCTATATTAGTGATTGTAGGGGTCAGGTATATGAAGGGCCAGAAACAAGGCATACAGGCGCACATCCTTCAACTCAACTGCCGAGCCTTTTTCACTCCATGTAGCTGCCACAACTTAAATCTGGTATTGGGAGATATGGTGAAATGTAGTTCAAAAGCCGTGACATTTTTTTGAGCTGTACAGCAAATTTACAATATTTTTGCAGCTTCAACTAACAGATTGCAAATATTGAGAGAGTGCGCTCCCTCTCTAACACCAAAGCTGTTGTCAGACACTAGGTGGGAGTGTTGAGTAGAGAGTTTAAAAGCAATTCGCTACCAGACAAGTGGTATCAGGAACGCCTAGCTTCAAGTTGCTGAAGAATACGACCACTCAAAAGTTAAAAGTGAGACTGAATCCCTGGCCAACTACGAATTTTTGAAAATTTTGAATTTCTGTTTGCAATGGTTATGTGGTATGACATCATGTTTACTGTAGACACTGTTAGTAAAACAGTTCAATCCAGGGAAATGCAGCTTGATGTGGCTTTTGCACACAAATTGACTTCTTGCAAAAATACAGGAACACTGGATTTGCCTCAGCCAAGGACACAGCAACAGAAATAGCATCTGAAATGGGTGTTGAACCTAAATTCAGAGAACGATGTGTGAAATGAAAGAGAGGTAAGGAGGAGCTGGAGAATTCGCCCAAGAAAGTGTTTGAAACCAGTTACTTTCTGGTCATTGTGGATTAGGCTCTTGTGTCACTGATCACACGATTTGAACAAATGCAAGGATATGCTGACAATTTTGGTTTTCTGTATGATGTAAAGAAACTCGGTGAAGTTGACAGAAGATGACATGAGAAAGCGGTGCATGGATTTGGGCACTGCATTGTCTGATGGAGAATCTCATTGTATCAATGGTGCGGACCTTTTCTTAGAGCTTTGGGTGCTACAAGAATTCATCCCTGAAGGAACAAGTAGTGCACTTCAAGCCCTTCAGTTTCTTAAATCATTTGGTGGTACTTTCCCAAACACAGCAATTGCATACAGGACTTTTCTGACAATCCCAGTCACAGTGGCTTCAGGGGAGTGAGGTTTTTCCAAATTAAAAATGATTAAGAACTACCTAAGGGCAGCTGTGTCTCAAGAGAGGTTGTGTGGATTTGCCATTCTGTCCATTGTGAAGGAAGTAGCATCAAACCTGGATTACCACGATCTGATAGCAGAGTTTGCTGCAAGGAAGTCCAGAAAGGTGAATTTCAGAATGTAGGCAGCGTGACACTGATCGTGATAGGTTAGTTTTTTGGTTTTCTTAATTATGCCTCTACCCATGTCCTGCCTTTGTGGGGATCCCATGGACCCTGTGTGGTGTTAAGGGGGCCCCACACAGGCTGACTTGCCCTGGGCCCCGCACCCCCCTAGGGACGGCTCTGCTAGGAGAACTGGATTCGGTCTTCTGCTTCTGCAGAGCTATTGTGTGATGTTTGGCAGGTTACTTAGAGCAAAGCTTTTGCAGGGCTCCACTAATGGTGGCTTTTCTGGGAATATAGCTTGATAGATTTGCAGAGGGGATGCACACTTATGAAGTCTCATGGGAACTGGGTCTGAAGCATTGAAAGTATATAGGATGAGTAAGCACCCTGAAATTCAGATGCTGGGTATCTCAAATTGAGCCCTGAAAAGTTAGTGGACATTTTGAGCTTTAAATTGTACCTTGCTTAGGCTCCTGTGTGTGAAACACAGGTAAAAGCTCCTCATGTCAGGGATGGTGTGAAGTGATATCAACCTGGTGTTTGCAAAGCACCTACACTGTGATGTGAGAGCACCAGGGAGGAATTCATAACTTTGTATATTCAACAGAGGACTTATATTAATGTGTGAGGAAAACAACCTGGGACCACAAATAGAATACACTGGATAAAAAGCAATATTGCATAATTATTCAATTCTGTTGCACTGGTCCTTTCATAGAGTACTGTCCATCCTGTACCCTAAATGAGGCAAGTCTTTTGTGGGAAAATAGTATACAAGCTTGTAATTGGAGACTTCATCAGAAATAGTTATACACAAGAGAGCAAACTGAAGTTGCACAGGTAACAAGACTTCAGGCATTTCTTACCTTCTGAGTGATTGACTTTTCAACCTTAATGCTCTTTTTATATAGTTTTTTGACACCAAGAGTCTTGCCTGTTTTTTTTTTTCCTTTGCGTTATGAATACTGCCTTCTAGTTAGCTGCCATTGGTAACATTTCTTTGCTTATTACTTTTCTCTCCATGTCTTACCAGACATTTTAGTGCATGTTTACACTTTTCTAAGGTTCCATATGATTTTGCAGCTTGTATCTCTCTCTTCTAGAGTTAACCAATTCCAGATAAATAAGATCTATCAAAACATTTTTAAAGTTTTATGTGAGAACAGTTAGTACTCCCTGAGGGAGTTGTGCTAGGTATAAAGTCTCCACCTTTGAAGAAGATGAGGTCACCAGTTCTGTTTTGTTTGATTGTTAGATAAGAAAAGTGTTTGACATGGCTGGAAGAAAGTGCAGATTCCCTGCTGGCCCCATATCAGGGCCCAGCAGGAGCTTCCTGTCTTCTGCTGCTATGGAGGTGTTGCCATTACAATTTCCTTTGTTACAGATGGGTGCACCCCACTCATGTTGGCATCTCTGCGTGTGGGCAGCTCTGACATTAGTGACGAAGATGAAGATGGGGAGGATTCCTCAGCAAATATAATAACAGACCTGATCTATCAAGGGGCTAACTTGCAAGCTCAAACAGACCGTACTGGGGAGATGGCACTGCACTTAGCAGCCCGCTATTCAAGAGCAGATGCAGCAAAACGCTTGTTGGATGCTGGTGCTGATGCTAACGCCCGAGACAACATGGGGAGGACTCCTCTTCATGCAGCTGTGGCAGCTGATGCACAGGGTGTCTTCCAGGTAAAGTGTTTAGGGGCTGTCTTTAGGGCACTCAGTGGAATAGGGGTACACTTGACTATGTTCTTTGCTGTCAAGCTAAATGGGTGAAGTTCTGGTTTCCTCAGATGTTAGTAGTTCAAATGAGTCGGCATCTGCACCAATGATGTGTGCCGATATGTTCAATCTTGCCTTTTTTGTCAGTGCTGCAGTAGTAGCAGCCCCAAAGCTGTCTGGTAGGGCTCTGTGAAGCTTTGGTAGTTGATTCAATTCAGAGGAAGTTCGGCCTGATTCAGGGACCAAATCTCCGAATCTGAATTGAGTTGGGAGACTCAGTAAAAGCTCCAAATTGATTTGAAGCATCCTAATTGATTTGGAAGAGATTCGGCCGATTCGGGAGCAGGGGCTCTGCCATGCTGCTGCTTGCCCAGCTGGGGCTGGGGGGGCAGGATTTGGGTGTGGCTCACTCCAGGCAGAGGGGGTAAAGCCCCCACTCCTAGTGCTGCCATGCCCACATCCTGCACCCCCCTGCGCCAACTGGCAGGCGGTGGCAGGGAAGAATCCTGCTCCCAGCGCTGATGCAGGCGCAGCAGTGCTGGGAGCGGGGGCTATGCCCTACTGCCACCTGGAGCGAGCCGTGCCTGCATCGTGCTCCCTCCCAGTGCTGGCTGGGCAAGCGGCAGCAGGGCATAGCCTCTGTGGCTCCCCCTGCCATGGCAGAGGCAGACACAGCCAGAGGAGCCGTAGGAGAAGCCCCCATGGCTGCCCTGCCCGGCCCCATCCCCTGTCTGGCCCAGCCTCCCGGCACTTTAAAATAAACAAAAAGCATTACACTCACCAGCTGTAGCAGCAGGGATTGGGGCCTCTGAAGGTCCGTGGCAGAGCTTCCCCACGCAACACGGGGCACTGGGGGGCAGCAGGGATCACCCCCCAACCTGGCATCCGCACAGCAGCTGCTTCATGGTGCAGGTGCAGCATGGCTCGGCAGGGTGCTCCATGCTGTCTGGGAGCTGGAGCGGCTCCACGTGTCAGCCGGAGCCCGGCTCAGCTCAGCCCCAGTGGCCCCAGCTCCCAGACAGTGCGCAGCGCCCTGCCGAGCCACACTGCACCCGCCTGATGCGACAGCTGCTGCATGGGTGCCAAGTTTGGGGGGAGGTCAATCCCCACTGCCCCGCACTGTGCAGGGGGGCTCTGCCACGAGCACCCAGAGCCCCAGTTGCTGCTGCTGCAGCCGGTGAGTGTGGGGCTTCCCCTTCACTGTTTCTGATGTAGTTAACCAGAGTGCAGTTAGTTACAAAGAAGATGACAGAGCTGAAAGATGCTACACATTTAAGCAACTTATGCACTTAACTAGCATGCAGGTACTAACCAAAGTTTATTACAGTGTAAACTATGGGCAGTAAATAGTGGCATTGTGCTGTGCAGTTAAGTGAATTATACATTTATCTGATAAGCATGTAAGTGGTGTGCATTGTAATGCTTTGTGTATTCCAGGTCCTTTTATTTCATCACTGATGTTGCTCCTTTAATTTAAATGTTGTGTAAACTTCTTTCTGATTCTCAGTCTTTCTCCATATGACAATTGACAGATCGCTCTTCTCTTGTCCCTCAGATCTTGATCCGGAACAGAGTGACAGACCTGGATGCTCGCATGAATGATGGAACAACTCCGTTAATTCTGGCAGCTCGTTTGGCTGTGGAGGGAATGGTGGCTGAGCTGATCAACTGCCAGGCAGATGTCAATGCAGTGGATGACCACGGTACTCTGGCGCAGGGAATGCTGGGCCATGGCAAACTGGGGCTTTCCTATTTCCAACATTTCTCATGGTATAGGATGGGAACAAAGAATTAACACCTGGGATGTAGCGCACACTGTTCTTAGCATTGTAGCTAGCTCAGTGAACACAGGTGTTGGTTCTTTGTGCTGGTGATTGGTTGCCCCACACTGAAGAATGCCTGGTAGTGTTGCTCCCAAGAGCAGAGGCCATCAAGCTCTGAGGCTTTTTTGATTGCACTATGATGAGAGAGAGTATTGCACTGAGGCTTTAAGCAGGGTGCCATATGAGACCGTATATCATGGATGGGACTCTCCAAGCTTGTTGGGAACCAGGGTCATTGCAGCTGGTCATGCTGATGTACATCGCATCCTACACATTGCAGAGAGAGCCATACTGGGAGGAGTGGTGTAGGTCTCAGGACTTGGGGCTGTTCCTTGGGGGTGTTGTATTATGCATCCCACTGCTTTGAGATATTATTTAGTCTGTTGCATGAAGCTACTGAATTTCTCCATAGGTAAATCTGCTCTTCATTGGGCTGCAGCTGTTAACAATGTGGAGGCAACGTTAGTGTTGTTGAAAAATGGAGCCAACCGAGACATGCAGGACAACAAGGTACAGTGCGTGTATGTCCTTAGCAGGACTGCCTGGGCCGCCTGTCAGTCACCTTCTCTTCTGACCCCCACCCCCAATCCGTGCTTTGCCGTTGTGCAGTGTTCTGCCTTGCTATTGAGAGCTGGTTTGGCCAAAACTTTTCAAAACCCAGACACCTAATGCTAGGCTTCTAAACCCAGAGCTGGGTGACTTAACTCTTCAAAAGTGAAATGACCTCACTTTTCAAAAATGCCTTCTACCCAGCATCTCCTCTTGAGCTCAGGGAGTTCTTCTTGCTCCTTCTCACCGTGGCATGGCTTGTATGTACCCATGGGCTGCCCTCACAGTTGTGTACCCTGCCAGCTATAAGAGTCTGTCTGGGGAGTCCATGCTAACTGTAGTCAGGAACTTCATCAACCGTGTAGGGCAGCAGTGCTCAACCTCTTGGCCCTGTGGACCAGATGAGTGAGTGATGCTAGTTCACAGACTGGATCAAGCCTCACACACCAGGGTAGGTCCCTGGGGGGCTAGCATCACCCTCTCCCACTGCCAGGCTCTGAGTCTGAGCCCTGAGGGCCTGGTCCTGTGCCTCCCCCTGGGCTTGGGCCCCAGGTACCTCTGGGATTGGGCCCTGGGGGCCTGACACCCCACCCCCTCCCAATCCTATGTGCTGGGATTGAGTCCTGGGCACTACCTCCTCCCAACTCCCCACGTCAGGATTGGGCCTTGCACCACCCTTGCCCAGCCCTGCATGCACAGATCTTGCATATGGGGAACCACCACTCTCCCACCACCAAATTTCCAGCCCCATGGGGAGCCCTGCAGGTTGGATGGCAGGATGCAGTAGGCTGAATTTGGCCTGTGGGCCGGGGGTTGAGTACCCCTGGTGTAGGGAAGTCAATGCCACTCTGCTTTCAGTGTGAAATGAGAAAGTGTTGCACTGTTCTGGTGCTCCACATAGCACAGGCCCACTGGTGTTTTAGTGTCAGTCAGCTGGCATGTGTTCAGCAGTAAACTGCCCATCCGAGTGACCTTCAGAGGCAAGACCTGACTTTCATGCACCTCTTGCTGCCTCTGTCCTTCTGGCTCTCTTCATTCTCTAGATGTTAACTTATTTTCTTCACGTTAGTTTTGTTCCTTTATTTGAGTTGCAGTTTATGTTGCACTTTGCTTACTACATTTTTGAAGGGTGCCGACACTGCATATGCCATGGTAAATTAACTTCACTACAGAGTACAACTGGAGCGGATATGATGAGGACAGCCCCACAACATAGTAAATCACCCAGATCCAGGGCAAAAATATTTCTTGAAAAACATATGGTAACTTTACTAAGTGGAGTAATTTACTGCATGGAACTTGTGTGTCTGCTCCTCTAGTCCAGTTCATCTAAGGACAACCCTTTGCTCAGTTCAGAATGGTTTCCCTGCCACCTAGTGGCCCATTACTATAAAAGCCTACTGCAGGCAGCCAGCTTGGGAGGCATAGTCCTGTGTGTACTCCTTACTGGGCATGTCTGCACGAGATGTTTACTGCACGGTTGGCTAATTAGCTGCACAGTAGATGTCTCAGCATCTATGTGTGTGCCGTTATCAGGATGCACGAAACTAATAAACTCTGCAGCAGGGTAGTACTTGTAAATATTTGTAAATACAAGTACTACCCTGCTGCATTTTTTTCATGTACAGCAGCACACATGTAGACACTGCCTCAGCTGGCTAGGGCACAAGGGTGCTTCAGTGCAGGGCTAGGGGGTGCTTGCCAGCTAGCCCTGCACTAGAGCACCCTTGTGTCCAAGCCAGTCCCTTCACCACACACTGAGCCCAGTCAAAGCAGCCCCAGGCTGGCTGACCTCCCCCGGGCCCCTGCCATTCGGAGCTGCTCCAACCCAGCTCAGTGTGTTGCAGTCTGGGTGCACATGCAGATGTGCACCCAGCAGCAATCACTCTGGAGCTTATTTCTGCACATTAATGGGCACATTTAAATGTGCCCACTGAAGAATAAACTTATAGATTCATAGATGTTAGGGTCGGTAGGGACCTCAATAGATCATCGAGTCCGACCCCCTGCATAGGCAGGAAAGAG